CGTCGTCACCCATGGCTCAGCGGCATAAGTCGCTGACTCATAAAGGTAAGGTCATGGGTTCGTATCCGGTATGATCCGACAGATGCGCTTTATTGACGAGTCCCATTAGGACGTAACGGCTGTCTATCGCTTTCCTGGATATGTGGTGACTCTGCGACGAATCTTCCCAAAAACCGTATATATCGCCCTACTACTCACTAATAAACGATGTTGTGGCTGATGGAGCAAAATCTGTTCCCCATAACCATTCTACATGCCTCCGCAGTTCCTCCATGTTATCATTTGCATTCGTTAGTGCTGCGTCCACGTAGATGCATCGTGAGTGCGCATAAGGCTATTGATACCACAGAATGCACATCGTACCTGCATCCGGACGCCTCGGGATCAATCTATTTAATCGAAAGATATTGATAGCTAGTTTCGTATAAACTTTCGAGGTACGCAGAAGGGTACCACGTGCACGTGCCAATTTTTTCTTTTGTTGATCTCGTTCCCCTTGTCTATCTATCCCTCATCACAAATTCTTTCTGTTGTTAACTATACTTAACTCGTCCTTCAGACAAAATATCTCATTTCGTATCGATTCCTTCAAGGTTCGCATCTTGTGCCACATTCGCTAACATACAGCACTCACTTCTCCCTATTAAACTAGATATGTGTGTGTCCAAACATCACGCAGTCCAACAGTATCTCAATTGCTCTTCGACTATCTCCTAGGATTCTCGTCCTGATGGTGTTGCCGAATGCGGTTGATTCTTCTCGCCTTCTGAGGATGGAGTTCCTGCGGTCTGCCTTGTACGTGGTTTGCGATTTTGCAAGACCTGACTCGCACCCAACACCAGTTTCGTGCTTACCGTTGTCTGCTAGTCAGACTGTCTGTTTAGATTGCGATACAAGGCTGATTATAATGTTAAGAATGCAAGCCTTTAGGGAATCATCTCACTGACACAGCCTTCTCTTACAGTTTAGGATATGGCGCGCAATCGAAACCACTGGAAAATCTGTGTGCCTGTTTGTTTAGATTCAGGTGCTTAACGCCTAACACTTTAAAAAAATATGAAAAAATGGCGTGTGAACGTATAACAAAAAAGCTTCCGTTCTTCTTGCGACACAGTAGCTGGAGTGTGTTGCTCACATTCAACCAATGTGCCTCAATGATGATGCCGCGGTGGTTCTACTTGTCGTCTGTGGCATTCCATGGTTTTGTTTGGATCTCTGTTTATTTATTGGACCGTTACTTTCACTATCATCTTCCACCAATGCTAAGAACCTAACTTAGAGTATTCAGGTTCCACATTCGATCCCTATTCTCCCATTCCTAAGAATTCTCTTCGTCATCGTGCCTCGGTGATAGTGGGTCATCAAGCCAACTTACCGAGGTACTATTGCCCTTTGTTTTTTGATGATGATGACTGAGCCAGTGGTTCTACGAGCACTCTTATCGCACTAACTCTCACTGGGGAACGATGCAGATGAACCGAATTATCACCATTGTACCATGAGGCGTGCGTTAGCCCTCATTTGTTAGCACAGTTTCGGCGGACTGAATTTAATCTTCTCATTTCTATGCTATTTGGATATACTTCTCCATTGGTCGAAGGTTCTGTGCGAAAATGTTTGTTCTCGACTGTGCGACGCACGCATGCACAGGCATGATCATGTTAAGAGTACAAAAAGTGATCAGTTAGTGTAAAATGGAGCAATAGGATTGTCACATATGTTGATATATGGATGTATGTATGTATGCACGTAGGCGTGTTTAGCCGTGTTTATGGGATTTGTAAATGCTTTTCTGCACTTTTGCTCGTGTCGGCAGTGCTAAAGGGATGCTTGATGTCTGTAACCTTCAAGCGGTTATCCGGATAAGCAAAGGGGTGACTTCAATTGATGGCGAGTCACAACCGCCACGTCACAGTGTTGTTGAACAGACGTTTGTGGATTTTTATAGGGAGAACGCTTGCCAGGCGAAAACCCACCACTTCTTGGAACACTGCCGCCGAACTATTTGCTGGAGCGGGGTAAACGCGAACCACCCAGCTGGCACCACGCGGAAGTTGTTCGGCTAGCCAGCCAAACTTCTTCCAAAACTTCTCTTTCCTCTTGTTCTACTACTTGAACTTTATCATCATCTTGGTGACCGGACTCGCGCGACTTCATTGTTCGGATCGGTATTGTTTAAATGAATGGAAAATAACTACGTAAATTTCAGAAACAAAATCAAAAACACGATGCCTCAAGCAATCAATAGACGGTATTCTGTGTGGAATCTGGAAGGTACTATGTTTGTGGATCTGATGACCGGAGTTGATTAGATGGTTAGTAATTGCGCCGTTATTTGCCTTCTGTTCGTAGTTGAAGACCCAACTTAGGAGATGCTCCTGGATTATCTAACCTAAATACCTAGTCGTGCGTCCAACTTGTGCGTTCAGAAAAGTAGGGTACACACATTGCAGCTGCCGTGGCGGCCCATCAGACAGGAAGGAAGTAACTGCACTCCGCATCACCGTCTGATTTCAATTATCCTATTGGATATTTAGCATCATAATCGCAGGTTAAATTATCTAATTAATTGATTTCTTGTTATATGGACAATTACAATAAACCTTATCTATCCGCAAATTGATCTATCAGACTGAGGATGAATTAATCCAGAACAATTGTGTACTTGTGGCTGCATGTTTTTCCTTCCCTTTCTGAGCTTTACGTAATGAACGAAAAACAAGTTGTCTCTAACCGACCAATCAGTGCTTGCCAGCCAACGCCCTAGAGCTTGTTGCAACCTACCGCTGGCAGTGGGAACGAAGCAACCGCTCTTAGCTGGCTCTATGCAATCAAAACGTATTAGTTAGGAGGAAGGTAAACACTCTTGTAACTGATATATTTGCACAACGCATCGATGATGTATTTTAGACTAAATCAATGCGGTTGAAAGGTGGACGAACACTCAAGCGAATCTGTGCAGATAGCCAAGAGGAATTACACAGCCTTCGGGTAAGCAATGACAACGCGGATGCCACAGGGCCGTAGTGGCATAGAAAAGTCAAATGACCACATTTTTATTCCTTCTCACGGCGTCATCCCCTTTGTTGAATCTATAGTGTGACCGGTCGGGGTCATGCAAAACGTGCAAAAACTTGACTGATTTATCCATGATATAAATTTCCATATCAACCACGCTGTAGTCTCGCGCACATGATCTACTTTTAGTAGTCCCGGAATCAAGGTGTTTCTGATTTCCGTCTCTTACGTGCAGGCCTTCCCTATCTACTCCATCATTTTCACTTTTCTGTTTCTTTTTCATTGTGTTTTCCTTCGCCCTATCGCCTTGTTCATTTTTGTAGTCATTGTGAATCAGAGCCACTTGTTCCTTTGCGTCATTGTTGATTTGCTGGATTAATCGAACATGTGGTTGATGGCGGCAACCGTGATGCGAGCCGTTTGCAATTTTCGTCTTCTCCTTACAACTCCGTCCGTACTACCACGAGGGTGGATCAAAAAGTTCTCAGTCCGACTTAGAAAGAAGCTAGCCACTCAAGTCCCCGCTTGTCATGTTTCACTATAATCTCCCATAAATTGAATGCACTTGGTCCAACACTGTTCAAGCATTACTATCCTCTTGTGAATAAGGGTCGAAGACTGTCCCTGTGCAAAATAGCTCCACAGTATTGACAAATCTGTGACCCCGGAGGTGGGATTTTACTTTGCAGGTCAGAAACAACTCTGATGGGGCTGTGTGTGGCAAATCAATACCACAAATGCCTGCTGCTGATATGGCCACTAAGGAAGTGTGAAGAAGTGTCTATCCCGCAACGGAAGAACATCTGCTGCGAGTTTTCCTCCTCATTTTTCTTCGACTGATTGTTTCATTTGGCTTCATTCTGTGGTCTAATATTCGCCTATGATAGTCTGATCCCTCAGCAAGCGGTCTATCATGATTATACCTCCGTTTTTTCAGAAGACAGATGCCATCACCGTTTCCTCGAGAGTAACTTTTTTGGGGGAAGGAGCAATGTGCTCCTATTGTTTACATTGAGTTTTTGCTTCTGGTTCTAATCGTCGAACCCAACTTTCATCCTAGGTGACCAATATTTTGCCTGAAATCTGTCCGATTTCTATAAACGAGTCAAAAGTTGCCTCGTATCTTCCAGTTTGTCCAATTTTTGATCGAATGCCAACGTTCTTCATGTTCCATCTTGCAGTCAACGCATAGTTGTAGCATTCGATAAGTGGCTCCTACGCGATCATTACATGTCGAAGATTTTGGGTGACCAGGACGTAGGCCAACGTCAATGCTCTTCCCGTTCATCGTGATATTCGCAACCACTTCTTTACATTCATTCATATGAATGAGAGTCTTCACCAAGTGGCTCAATCACATCAGAATCTATTTCCTTTGGCATTATATCTTTTTTCTGCGAGTATTTGATCACAGCTCGGCTTTCAAATTTGTCCATTTTTAGAAATTGCGCACCTTGAGTTATTTTCATAGAAATTAGAAGCCACGATTAAACTTTGCACAATAATCTGCCTCGATGGGGAATCGAACCCCGGACCCACGGATTACCGGTCCGCTGCTCTACCTAGAGTTAGTTCAGTGGATCATCACCTGCAAACAAATAAAGATTGAAACTTGAGACTTGGCACTAATACTTCCAGAATATAAGAATTTTTAAAACCCACATTTGTATAGCGTTGGATCGTGATTTGTCATCTGACTCGAACTTTGCTGCCAAACTTCACATCTTTTCCTGGTGCCCCTGCATTCTGCTTCGCTGCATGCCTACTGCAACACACCACATTAACTTCACTTCGCTTCCATCAGCTTGGTCACTGTCCAATCCTCATAGATTATTGATCATCTTATGGCATTAAGCTTTTTTCGAATCACCACGGTCTTCGACGAGTACATCTGATTAATGCACGATTATTCAACTTCTCTCCTCCACGTGCGGCACTTCCATCGCGACGCTGTTTAACTTTTGCCCTTGATTATTGTACAGGCATGACTCCCTTGATGATCGCTACGGAGGCAGGTAACAGCGGGCTGAACATGACGGTCGCTCTGGTTAACGCAGGATGCAATGTGGCCGTGACTGACAAGGTTGGCATGACCGCGCTGCATCACGCTTGCTATGTGGGTTCCCTCAACGTTGTTCGGTTCCTGTTGGAACGCGTGTTGCCTTGCACCGGTTCCAGCACTAATTTTGACTCCATGATGAAGGTCGCCAACACATCGGTACCTCCGAGCACCAATGGTGGTGGCGGTCGTGTGGTGATTCCGGAACTACTCGATTCACAGGTAACGTTGCTCTAACGTGCTTCCTCTATTATCCACCGTTCTGTACTGATGCTAAAGTCAACTGTATCATCTGACCGCGAAAAGGAATGAACGAAACCATTTTTGTACTAAGATGAAGCAGATATCCCTAGTAACATCTTCTGGTAAACTGTATGTTGCAGGCTGTTCATCTTTCCCCCTATTTCACTGTTGGTATTGACTTCAGAGAGGTTTAGAAACAATCAGTTGTTGTGCCCGAGAAATATATAAATACTATCCAAGCATTATACGCGGATAGCACGGGCAGAGTGAGGGCTTACGGCAAGCTGTCGCCACCATTCAATATCTCCAGCGGTGTGAGACTGGGATGCCCGCTGTCACCTTTCCTCTTCAACTTCGCTATTGATGAAGTCATGGAGATTTCATTGACAGGACATGACTTGGAAGGTGTGGAGCTACTCCCAGAAGAACGACTTCTTGACTTGGAGTATGCAGACGACATTGCCCTCATCTGTGACAGCTCCCAGACGTGCCAAGCCGCGCTGGACAGATTAGCATTGGCTGTCAACCGCTTCGGACTTTGCTTCGCACCATCGAAATGCAAAGCGTTCCTCCAAGATTGGCAGGGATCGCCTCCTGCGCTGACCGTTGGTGGAGATCAGCTAGAAGTCCTTCAAAAATTCAACTACCTGGGAAGTTTTCTCAGCACCCGTCGGATTGAGGATGAGATCACGAACCGTATAGCAAAAGCTCGAAGTGCTTTTGCTAACCTTCGCCACCTATGGCGGCGGCACGACATTACTCTCGCCCTGAAGGGTAGAGTGTACAATGCAGCGGTACGTTCGACCCTACTGTACGGTTGCGAAACCTGGCCCCTAAGATCGGCGGACATGAAGAGGCTAGTTACGTTCGACCATCGGTGCCTTCCCAGTTTGGCTCACATTTGGTGGGAACACCGGGTGAGGAACGAGCCTGTTCGACGCCTTGTTTACGGCCTAGGAAAAGGAAATGAACCGCTCAGCACCGTCATTTCACGCACCAAGCTCCGATGTCTGGGCCACGTGTTGCGCATGCCGGCCCACCGACTTGCGTTGTTTGCTCACCGGGGATGTGGATGGAAGAAGAGGAGCGGTGGCCAAGCGATGACTTGATCGAGAGGAATGAAGGCCCCACACCTCGGAGCTGGTCTCCGTTGGAGCGTCACGGCTCCGTGGTTGGGGTCCAAAAGACGGTGAACACGTTTGACTGGATACACTTGCTGGCATGGCAAGGAGCCGACCTCAGTGGCGTTTGTGCTGTGAGTTTCTTTGTCGCTCCCTTACCTTTTAGCCTCCTTTCCACCTACGACCTCATTTCTTAGGGTAAAACATAATAATTTTTTCTTTTTGCCTAGTAGCCGGTTGGTAGCTTACCAGAACGATGCCTATCCGTTGCTGATAGCTCAGCTGACATGCAACTGTTGTATTTATTTTCCTTTTCCTTTATGTATTGTGGCACAGTAGCTGAGGTGTTTCCCACCCCTAGCTGACGTGTATAATGAATGAATGAATGATTTGGTGTGGTCGCTGTGCAACCTTTCGCTTTTGACAGAAAAGCTACTTCAGACCAGGTAGGTTATACGAACGGACAAAGCAATGCGTCTGAAATGAGCAGCACGTTTGAATTCTCAGCGGATATCGTGTTTCCTCTCTTATGCTTTCCGGCTGTGATAGTACTCGTCCTGAATGCTTATCTTGTTTTAACGCTTATTTGATGGAACAGCTTTGTTATGGCTGCTGCTGTGATAACTCCATTGCAACTTCATTAACTTGGTCGCATAATGCAATCTTCTGTATAAGGTATTAGCTACCATTATTGTTCATTTTATCTCATTCCTTTGTAGTTGTATCACTTTTTTCACTTGAAACTTATACTGACTGCGACGGACTTGCAGTCCTATGTATTAGTACACTAGGGTTAACAATGGACGATCGCTTGCCTAAATGTGCTGATTTGATACGTTTTGTGCCTCTGTCATTACTTCGCCCCCCCCATCCTCCAAGGACAAATACGGACGGACACCAATTTACTTGGCCGCTTGTCGAGGTCACACGGAGGTCGTCAACTACCTTCTGAGTCATTCAACAGATTTTCATATCCCGAACAAAGAGCACAAATCCCCACTGTATATCAGTGCTTATTTTGGATACCTGGAGATTGCAAATGCTTTGCTCCGTCATGGGGCTATGGTACGTGTCGTTCACATATGCATTCTCATCTATTTCATGTTTTTTGAAGGCCGCGGTGACTCACCACGCTATTAATTGATGCACACTGCCTACCTTGTGTCTTTGTTTTCTCGTTTTCCGTCAAATCCCTCTACCTTTACATCATGGTGTACGCTGGAACCGACCGAGAATGTATTCTTTCGGAAGGTTTAGTATACAAATCGATTTTTGCTTAGGACTGTACCGCGCAACTACCTGGTCTGAGAAAGTTTTTGCTTCCAGAGCGAAACGCCGCAACAATGCAACCTTATATAAAACCGATTTGTGCTATACACCTTCCGAAGATTTTCCTCTTGCCTCCACTTTATTGCTGCACCCCAAGTAATTGTAAAGGATTTGCGCCTAGGTTTTGCTCCTTGCTTGAAACCTTGCACGGAGATGCCTGTGCGCTTATTGACTGGATTACTTACTATTGCCCGGATTCCTCCCAGTTCATGGTCACCTGCTCAGCTGGTTATCTGTTTACGAGCGAACTTGTCATCTTGTGCATTGTTCTGTTCGCACACTTCAGCAGAGTTCACCTGGACGTGGTCTCAACCTTTAATTGAGAGCTTGTCAAGTGACACGATCATGACCGCGTCAACATGTTCCGCAAACATCCCCACCGGTAACAACGTTTAGGCGTTTTCTTCTTGGTGCGTATGCTTGTTTTATCACTGGTTGCGTTCGTATGAATTATGACGCACAATCCCAGTGTTGGATCGCTATCTACTTGTACTACATCTGAAACTTCTCGATGGTGCATCGGAACGGGGCTGCTTCCTTTCTCCTGACTTTACTCTGCAGCTGGTAGTGGTATGTGGAGCTAGACTTCGGTCCTGAATTGTAGCCTTTCCTAGCAGATGTGCCTTCGCCGCTGGACCTATGCTAACGACGCTAGTCCAGACAGTTGGAAGTGTCTCATAGATTCTCCGGCCATAGTTCAATAGTACCAGATTGCAGCGTTTGCATGAAGTCCCTATTCTCCCGGTCTGCGTATCACCGTTTTCGACGGCATGCTAACGAAACTTCCACACAAATTGCTTGTGTGCATCGCGGATACCTTTTTCTGGTCATCCCGTCATTTTTCCATCGTTTTTGATGACATTCCGGCTGAGTGTAGTTTCAGCTAATTATCTTTTACCTACTGAACAAGAAGAATTACTGTATCTTCTCGTCTGCGAGAGACTGAACCCGAGACGGCCAGATTACAATGTACAGAGGCCTGATGCTCATGCACGCGGTTTTCAGGTGTTATTTGTCAGGTGTTTTCTAAGTGGGATTCCAAACGGGCAGATGACAGCGCCCGAAATCGGTGTGCCAGGTTGCAGTTTGTCTATTGTGAGTTTGCGTTTTTCAGCCACGATCCGGCTTACAGAAGCACGTTTTAATTTTCGTCCTCCGGTTGGCCAAAGCAGCTGGGCCAATCTCCTGATAAATGTGTAAATAGAGCAGGGAAATTAGGTTAAACGAGGGAAAATAGAACAAATGAGTGCAGTAGCAAAATGCGAAGTCGTAAGACTAGACGTAAATTTTTAGATGTTAAGCAGAATATAATGCAACTAGATAAAGCAATTTTTTAAGTATACACAAGAAAGTCAGTATGCCATTCATTTAGTAAATCAGTGTGTATGACCTTAGAGGGTGACCGAACGAATTGGACTACCAGCCTAAAGAGCTTTCTAGGGCGAAAAATGGGAAAACATTAAAAACAAACAAGTCAAACGCAGCAAACAGATAGTGCTCTACCTTATAATGGCAAAATAAATGCGTTGTCCTTGACAGTTTGCAAGTAACAAAAAGCTGCGAATAACGCCCTACCTTAATTTTCGCTAAAATTGCGGTTTTGCTTTCCAAGCGAACCACAGAAAGAATAAAGAAAAACATGAAACACAATGCGGATAGATAGATTCTAGGTAACAAGACGCATCTAATAAGCCGGGGCACAGCACAGTAGTAACGATGTTTGCGACGTGCAACCGGGAAGACCGACAAATCTGGTTTTTCGTTCTTATGTAATTGAAAGCAAATTAACGCGTCTAACTTCGTGATCATGCTTAACGATCCATGCGGGACCTTACGTAAACGCAGTATCTGTGACCTCGCCTCAATTAGTCCATGGCAAGATGAGCCTTTCCAACATTATTTTGAGGATACTGAGACTTTTCGAAATGCAATGAAGGAGAAATCTACTTTTTTATACCTTCAAGTGGTCGAGAGTACAGTGCTGGGCAACATAAGCCTTGACCACATGGAGACAGCAGGCCAGCTTTATATTCATTTGGCCAATATGAGCTCATCTGTCAGTAGACTAATGTTCTTTCATATCTTACGCAATTCAAGCGGCTTTCTTCTCTTGCTGTTGCTCACCAGGTCGATCAAACTGATTCACATCGTAAGACTCCGCTGTATGTGGCCACTTATCACGGGCGATCGGAGATAGTCGATTTACTTTTGGCCGCCGGTGCCAACGTGAACGCAACAGACAAAAACGGCAAAACTCCGCTGTACATCGCAGTGTTGCATGGACATCTGGCTTTGGCCCGCAAACTCTTAAACTCGGGCGCTTCCGTCAACCGGGTGGATCGCGAAGGCCTTGGTCCGTTGCACATGGCCGTCAAATTTCCCAAACTTGACATTCCTATGGTGAAACTGCTGTTGAACCACGGCTGTGATCCGGTGAATTTGGCCAGTTTCACACGCTGGCTTCTGATGCACGGTATCATTCCGCCAGAATGCATTCATGGGGACGATGAATTGGCTCGTTGGCTCCATTGGGAAGAGTGCAATGTGCGTTCGTTGAAACGACTGTGCCGTGTGGCCATTCAACGTGCCTTGGGCAACACCGACTCGATGCGAGTGAAACTTCGGCGTTTGCCGCTACCGGAGCATTTGTTATCTTACGTCTCAATGAAGGAACTGTGATAATTCCATTCTTTTTTTGCTTTATTCTCTTCGTCTGTCATATTTCCCCCCAATCGTGATCGATTCTTTTTGTCTTCTCTATTTCCTGCGCATCTTAGACCTGTTTTCGTTTCGGCGATTTACTGCATTTGTAGGCTATCTATCTACTGCCTCTTTAATCCGAGTGTTCGTCGTATTCCTCCGGCTTTCGTTCAGAACTCCAGTTTTAGCTTACGGCTTGACGCAAATGGACATATTTGTGTACATGAGGATAACACCATCCATTTTTACCTCTCCGCACTGCTGTTTTAATTTATATCTATGGGAATGTATTTATCCAACTTTTCTGAAACCCGTTTTCGTCAATTCTCTCCAGACATTTACACTATCTGATAAGAATTTTCAGAAAACTTGCTTTTTTATCTCCCTGTCAAACAACTTGACGATTCAGCTGACTTCACTTGTTACTGCATTTATTCTCCTCTTGTACATCTGTGGCGCCTGTGTCTTTTTTAATTTCTCTTGAACAAATACTGATTCCAACAGAATCGACTTTTTCTTTCGCTCTGTCTTCTCCCTGTTGTGTACTATTGGGAATTTGTGACTGCGATACTTTGAAGTCACCTACCAGCAGATGTTTGTCTGATTTCATCTCTCCTAACTAAGTGGTGATCGCGTAGACACTTTCGCAACACTCACTGCGATCACTGATGGGCTTGCGCATGTGATTGGCGACATCTGTCTTCGGACTTACATGTCACTGAAAATGTGACCAGACTCAGAACACCACTTGCGCCTAGAATGAACAGGGGTAGCGTGCCACCAGTCTGCCACAGGAAAATTCCAACGAAAATAAGGTTGGCGGCATCCGGTTTCGAATTTCCCTGTCACTGTAGCCAGCCACAGGACGTCTGCGCCTATACAGAGGGACCAATCGTGGCTTGCGCTGCATCACCGACAGCTCCAACCCCATATCTAGTGTAAACCCGAAGAAATAAGACCGGGAGGCATGCGGATGGGAGCCACGTTTCATCAACGGAACCGGCCCACCCTCCTTCACAGGCAAACACAAGCACGCTGTATTTGGGAATCAAGCGCACACAAGACGGTGGCTGGACCGTAGTCCGCTCCATACTGAGTGCATGGAACCATCCTCCCAGCCTAGCACGACCACAAGGACCGTGCACTCCGTCCCCTCCAGCAACGACCAACTGTCTCCTGGAGCCAGTATGAAAGAGGTAGTGGGTAATAGACAGGTAGGCACCTTGTCAACATGCACATCAAGCGCAGCCACAGTGGGGATATCAAGCAACAGCCAATCACTTGAAAGATAACAAATAAAATAAATTGAGTAATGCATAAGGAAACGGTGACATAAACCTTAAATTAGTGAGCATATGAAATAAGTTGTCTACAAACGAATCCGAAATAAGTTCACGAGGTCGGAAAGTATATTTTATGGAAATGCTACAGACACGAAAATGTTATCGAACTACAATTGGCTTAAGCGACGTATGCAAGTTTATAGAAGAGAGTATAGGTAGGCATTTATATGAGAAAGAGAGGTATTAGGACAAAATTGAAAACCCACCTGAAAATGAGGTGCATTCGTTTATATAAGCATATAATGCCCCCTATCCTGTCATCAGCAATACTTCTGTATTTGGTTGAATAGCTGGCTACCTGTGGTATGGTTTAATATACGTATAAATAGGCGCACACAATGGAAGTGCTTCGGTAGTGCTCATCTCCTGAGTGGCTTCGTCCTCCTTTGACTCATCATATGGGTTGGAACTGAGGGCCTAACGGTTAACGACTAATTCCCTGATCACTAAATCACTGAGATGCGTGAACAACGCTTGCACATCGGTATGGGATTCAAGATTGGGTTTGGATTACCCACCGTGTGGTTGCATTGCGACACGCAATCTCCTTGGAGGCTTTGAGGTAGATCTATCACCATGACCGTATCCGAAGGTGGTGTTTCAATCTCGACCTTTTCAACACAAGTTGTTATGTGGAAGCAACTAAGTGATTCGGTGAGTGCGCGCTACTCGCACGTCTAAATAGGACCAAACCGTCGTCTAGTGCAATCGGTTCTTTCTTATCGTGAGGAAGGACGCTAATTACGGTCTTAGTGTCCACCAAGTAGCGAACTCCTGTTTATCGATCAGTGACCAAGAAAAGGCGACTGTGGCAGCCAGCAACATCCGTTGCCTATACCTGCGGACCATCCCGTTTGCCTGCGTCTGGCATTTGAGGGAACAGGGCGGACGACAAGATCTGGCCTGATGACCAAATCACTCATGGTACCAGCAACAGGGTGATCTAAGCGTAGG